CATCAAAGGCCTTTGGAATTATAGAATTGTTTAGGTTGGGAAAGACCTTTAAGATCATCAAGTCCAACCCTTAACCTAACCCTGCCATCCCACCACTAAACCATGTCCCTAAGCACCTCGTCTGCCTGTTTCTTAAATACCTCTAGGCATGGGGACTCGACCACCTTCCCGGGCATCCCGTTCCAATGCTTAACAACCCTTTCTGTGAAGAAATTTTTCCTAATGTCCAACCTAAACCTGCCCTGGCGCAACTTCAGACCATTTTCCCTTGTCTATCGCCCGTTACCAGGGAGAAGAGGCCGACTCCCACCTCGCTACAGCCTCCTTTCAGGTGGTTGTAGAGGGCGATAAGGTCTCCCCTCAGCTTCCTCCAGGCTGAACAACCCCAGTTCCCTCAGCCGCTCCTCACAAGACTTGTGCTCCAGATCCCCTCACCAGCTTTGTGGCTCTCCTCTGGACATGTTCCAGCAACGCAACATCTTTCCTGTAGTGAGGGGCCCAAAACTGAACACAGTATTTGAGGTGCGGCCTCACCAGTGCCCAGGACAAGGGCACGATCACTTCCCTACTCCTGCTGGCCACACTATTCCTTATACAAGCCAGGATGCCATTGGCCTTCTTGGCCACCTGGGCACACTGCTGGCTCATATTCAGCCAGCTGTCAACCAGCACTCCCAGGTCCTTTTCTGCCGGGCAGCTTTCCAGCTACTCTTCCCCAAGCCTGTAGCGTTGCATGGGGTTGTTGTGACTGAAGTGCAGGACCTGGCACTTGGCCTTGTTGAACCTCATACAGTTGGCCTCAGCCCATTGATCCAGCCTGTCCAGGTCCCTCTGCAGAGCCCTCCTCCCCTCGAGCAGATCGACACTCCCACCCAGTTTGGTTTCATCTGCAAACTTACTGAGGGTAAGGCTTACTTTGTGAGCACTTCGTCCTTGAGGAAGCTCTCACAGCAGGGAAAGATCTCATGGTGTGTGAAGCCGCACCACTGTGCTTTCCACAGAGCCGCGCCTCGGGTGCTTCTGAGGAAAGGCCTGTGTGCCACACAATCGCACCACTGGCGGGAGTTTCCTGCACAGAATAAATCTCATTTTTCTGCCAAAGAAGTGTTATCATCCCTTTCAAACTTAGAAGTAGGCTTCAAAGAGATTATCTAATTATGACATTTTTAACCGGAAACATGTATCAGCCCTCACTCCCCAGCAAAGGGGTGATGTGTCATTATGTAGTGGCAACTGCAGTCAAACCATTTTTTTCCCTTTCCTCTTGCATCATCCGGAGCCAGCAGAGCCTGGGGGTGTGCTCCTTCATCAGCCATGCGCGGAGCCCCGGTCTGCAGGAACAGAAACAGAAAGGAGCACAGCACCAAAGGAAAAGAGCAGTGCCGGAGAGCTCACGGGGAGAGGAGAAGCCATGCACAAGAAAAAGCTGAGAGGGTAAAAAAAAAATTGCTGACCGAAAACCCCCCACCCAGCTTCAGCTCTGTGTTGTCCTTGCTCCAGCCCAAGGGGACCCCTTGCTTTGTCCCCCCAGGGGCGTGCTTTCTTCTGTGCAAAGTCTCTGCCTTGCTTGGGGAAGGGCGAGGGCGATACTGGTGCCAGCGTACCTGAGCCAGAGTCCTGGTCCCCAGTGTAACTGCGAGGGGCCACACCAAAGTCTGAGCCTGTTGGGGAAGTTCCCTCTGGCATAGAACTGCCACGGGAGCCATAAAAGAGCAGAGAACAAAAGGTGCCAGTAAAAATGAGTGAAAGGTGAGGATGGGTTGGGGAAGGGCTAAGGAGGAGCTGGCTCACCCCAACGCTGGGCAGCAAGAGAATCCAAAAGTGCCTCTTCCCTGCTTGACTGTTTCTAGGTCTTGAAATGTCTGTTGTGCCACAAAATAAACAGGAAGTGTCTGACCAGGCATTTTCTGTCCAATAGAGGGTGAAAAAAAAAGTTCCAATACAAAGCTTAGTAAGGAAGTGCATTGGCTGTGCAAAGCATTGGCAATGGAGGAAAAATGCAGATTAAAAAAGTTCTGATGCATATATGGTCATACATTTTTAGATATTATTATTATCATTATTATTATCTTGTAAGGAGCAGAATTTTAAATAGTTTCTAATAAAAAGTATTAGAGGAAGGAAGGAAAATCATTACATTTCTATAATGGTGCAGTTTACTACACAAAGTTTTAATAAGAGAGTTATTAGTTTTAGGAGCTGTTCTCAAAAAATTAGTACATTTATAAATAAACCCATTGAATTCCTGCTCAAGTTATGGATGATGGGACAATAGAAAAGGTGTAAACAACACCTTTTAAAAGATATTTGTAATCAGTCAGTATGTTTTTAAGGTTTAATGCATATTTACATAGCAGCTGCATATTAATGGAAAAGAAGATAAAACCTAGGAGTCAGTTACGTTGGCTGTCAACCCTCTGCCATTTCCTCCCTTAACTCTTCTAAACATTTTTGGGTGCAATTCACCTTTCAAATATTCAGTTGGCCTTTACAGTTGGTATATTTCTCTCCAGCTCTTAAGTTCTGAAAGGGTTACAAGTTTACCTTCATGAGACCGATGAACCAAATTTAGAAAGAAAACTAAAAAAGTTTTAAGACTTTTTTTTTATTTGCTAACTCTTAATTATGTCTCATATTTGTATCAAGGAACCAGCTATTAAGTGCCTGATTTTTTTGAGTTAGGCTCCATATGTATACATGTATCATACATAACAATGCTGAACAGCAAGGACTGCTTGTGACAGCTATAAAAATAAAACAAATAAAGTGATTGCGGAAGTTTAACTCACAACCTATTTTCTTACTTGGTTTGGGGAGAAAAGGGAGTAGGTGCTAGGATTTTGTATAGATTCTGTAGTGTGGAAATTTTTTATGGTGCTTTTTAAATTTCTTGTCTGTCCTTCTGCTAGAGCTGTTTAACTTTACATTAATCCATGATTTAAAAAATAGCAAGTTATATCTGTAGCAGATATTTATAAGAATTCAGGCTTTTTTTTATATTGCATGAAGATGATGACACAATAAATTTCACTTGGTTTAACACATCTTTAAGGTGGCTATATCTTAAAGATTAGTGTATTGCAAGATTGTTCTAAAGAAATGGCTTTATGTCCCCGAAAATGTGCACAGGACACCCACTGCAACAACTTATCCAAAGTGCAATATTTTATGGTCAAGACACAGGCAAGAGGGTGCTTAAGACCAGTTTAAGTAAGACCTGGAAATTTTAACTTGTCTGTGTGTTATAATCAGATGGCAACAACTACAGATACCTTTGAAGAAATCAGGTGTCTGTAACCTATTATAATACTGCTTTTAAGATACCGTCTGTAAGAATTAGATGAACTTAATTGGGCTTGAGTATTGGGAGTTTGATGTATTTTGTTTGGTGAACTTCAACCACTGTCACTGTATATATATATATATATACACACACACACACACATATTATATATATTATGTACATATTATATATTTTTTATCTATATGTTCCCTAATCATCAACAGGTTTCAAAGAAATTTAAGCTAATAGGCACTAACTTCCAAATAACATAACAGAAATAGAAAAAAATGCATCTGTTTTAGCACCTCAAATGAGAAAAAAAAAATTAAGCCCGTGCATCACTTTCCTCTCTCTCTGTTGGTTTCTTTAATAACATAGTAAAGGAATTAAGTATAATAATAAAAAGTTATTTCTGTACCAGAATTAATCATTTGGCAACGTTTACATTTGCTACATTTATATAAATTCAGTGGAAAGTCTTATAAAGAAACCTGCATGCATAGTTTTTGTAGTTTATATACACAGAGTTTACATGGAGAAGATAAAGATGCACTCTGTGGTTTATAAACTGGTTTATGTACACATGCATTTTAATGCATAGGACGCTGGGATGAGCAAGGAGACAGGGTAGGAAGTCAAAGCCTTCTGACTGACTCAGATAAATGAGAAGCTTTTTTAAACAGATGAAGAGTCCTGCAGCTAGAGAACATATGACAGTTGTTTGATCAGCCAGGTTTTATTTGTCTTTAGTTCAGATAGTGGGTATTTTTGTTATTGGTGGGTGCTAATCTATAAAACAATCTACGGGTTTATTGCTTCTCTGATAAGAGTCTGTCTAGTTGTCTACTAGATTTATCCTGAATTAATCTAATGTGGAAAAATATATATCTGAAGTGCATTCTCATATAAATCTCTATATAAAGCAATTGTACAAAGCCTACAAAATGCTAATGGTGATTTCATGTATTATTTATGTATCATGGATAATTACTGATATAAGGGATAGTTTCATGACCAACACTGTCAGTCTTTGTATAGTTATTTAACTGACAACTTTTAGAGATCTACTCTGTACTGAATAGATCCGGATCTCAGAGATGGACTATCTGTCAGAAAATGTCATTCTTTGGAGCTGCATCTTTTTGTAAACAGCACTTCTTTTTCCTCCTCTCATGTAGGATTGTGCTGACTGTGCTAATCCTTACGAAAATACAAACAGCAGGAGAATCCAATAGCAGAAGTATTCAGCTTCATAATTTATCAGTGATTTATTTTCTTTCTTCTATTTTTTTAGTTTTTACAAAATTCCCAACAGCCCCCTACATCGAAAAGGGCTACCTAGGAACCCTGGAAAAATGTCTGGTGCATAAAAAGATATAGAAAGCTTTTAGAAGTACTCACACTGATGGGGAAGAGGACAGCCATAAGGAGGGGTAGGGAGGTGAAAGTTCTGTATGCAGATGCAGACAAAGGGAGGAGTAAGTTGTTCAGGATTTGGTTCCTTTACCCTGACGTGGTGCCTACCTCTCCTTTTTCCTTGCATTGCTCTCTCATGTTTTGACCTTCTCAGTTCTCCTCTTGTTTCCTTCACCCTTCCCCTTTTTTGTGTACTAGAGAACTACTGAAAACAAAGTTGTAAACAGTGATTCCTTGAAGTTTCTTTTCTGTTTCAGCATGTATATATCTAAGAAGGCATTAAAGCATAATTTTGACCCTTATAATTATCCATGGGACACATACCTGCTAGTCGAACTGCAGTGGGGTGAGACTGGCAGGCCTTGGATACACTGGGTCAAAAATGATCGTGGACTCCATGCTGAAGTCTACTTCCTGGAGAAGATCTTCATGATGAAAAGATCGAATAATTATGTCAACTGTTCCATCACCTGGTACTTGTCCTGGAGCCCTTGTGAGGACTGCTGCTATAAAATACTGAATTTCTTAATGAAGCACTCAAATGTGAACATAGACATATATGTAGCACGGCTTTATTACAGAGAAGATGAAAAAACCCGCCAAGGTCTGAAGAACCTTGTGAACTTGGCGAAAGTAACCATTGCTGTCATGGAAATTGAAGGCAAGGTTTCCTGTGCTTTGTGGGACTGGGAAGGGGTGAACTGGTTAACTTTGTGCATGGGTGAACCTGGTATGGGCTTACTTCTGTGCCCAGCACACTGCCCAGTTTCTCTGGGGGCACATCCATCGCCATTCAGTGAATGAGTGTCAGATCAAAAAAACCATGTTCAAATATTGCAGGAGAAGGGGGGCAGACTCTCAGCAACCAGATCTGTATGAAAATTCTCCCTTCTTTAGAGACACCATCTTTCTGTAACTCCTGAGGGAATGGGAGTTAGGGTGCTTCTCCCTTGTTCAAGGGGACTAAATGCAGCTGCTGGGATAAGGCTGGCTGAAGGGGCCCTCCGCTGATAAGAGAGGGGAAAAAAAAATGGCCAGAGAGAATGGCATTGGTTCCAAATACAGAGTGGACAAGCGTGCATCAGCTGGCCTGCTCACAGCCAAGCTGTCTCTGTGTCAATGCCCACAAGGAAGAGGTTAAAAAGTCTTGTTCCCTGAGCTTGTGTGGTATCTGAATAAACTCAGTTTAGTCATCTTTGCTTCCACTTCTCCAGCCTATACTTACTGTTGGAAAACCTTTATACAAGGAGATGATGATGATGATGATTCCTGGACTATGGGCTTTCAACCAGAGATAACTAAGAATCGTTTGAAGCTCAAGGAGATCTTTGAGGTTAGTAGGCTCTGAGGGACAAGGGCAATGAAATGATTTGCAGTCTGGGGTCACTGACCTGCAAAGAGCAGGAAAGAAGCTGTTCGTGTCTAGTTGGAGTTTAAAGAGTGCTGCAGCATACTTTTGGAAAAAGTAATATAGTAAAATCATAGGAACTACCCTGTCCCATTGGGAGAGAAGCACTGTGGATTTTCTTACATTGTATTAAGAAGCAAAGGCTAAGAGTACAGCTTTTCTCCTTCAGGCTCCAGAGTGGGAAATCCCTTGATTATCAGCTGAAACTCCAGTCTCATCCCAGAAACCTCCACCAGATTCCTTTCTAATCTGGATCTAAGCATGGGTTTCTGTTCACCAAATGTTGCTACTCAGTGGCTTTCTGTCAATATCTGCAGTGGTCTGACACCCCCTCCTAGTCCCTGGGCCCCTATATACTTCATTAAACTCTCTTCCAGATTTGATTCACCAACTTACCTGACTGGTCCGAAGGGTACAGTTTCTGCGAGATGAGAAAAGCTGTTCAAAAGAGAATGTCTGTCCCCTGAGAAAATCCAACCTTTGTTTTTGTTTTGTGCCAGACCTCCTCAAAGGCAGGAGAAGACAGAGTGTGTTCACTAACAGTGTTGAAACTTTGTGGCCCTGGAGACAAGAGACCCGGCTTGAATGAATAAGTCCACATCTTTGGCCTGGAAGGACTGTGTAAAAAAAAAATCTAGCAAAACTAATATAAGTTCTGCAGCATTTTGATTTCAATGTATTAGAGTTTTCTGACAAATGGTATTTTTAGTGAAACAGAGTAAAAAAAATCTATGGCTAGGTCATTGAACATCTGGCAAATCCATTTTATATGGCATCTGTGGAAAAGAAATATTCTAGGCTATTACAAGTATTAGACTTCTCCTGCCATGTCCATTTCAAATCACAGCAAGTCCAAAGTTCAATTGCTAAGCATCTAAATGTCATATTTTTATTTTCATTTCAGGGTCCTCCATTCATAAAATCATAGAATTATAGAATATCTCAAGTTGGAAGGGACCCATAAGGATCATCGAGTCCCACTCCCTGCTCTTTGCAGAACTACTAAAACTAAACCATATGACTAAGAGCATCGTCCAGATGCTCCTTGAGCTCCGACAGCCTTGGTGCCATCACCGCTTCCCTGGGGAGCCTGTTCCAGTGACTGACCACCCTCTCAGCAAAGAACCTTTTCCTAACGTCCAATCTGAACTTCCCCTGATGCAGCTTCATTCCATTTCCTCCTGTCCTATTGCTGGTCATCAGAGAGAGGAGATCAGTGCCATGATTACCTTGTCCCATGTGGAAAATCTGGCACTTGCTCTCGTTAAGTTTCATACGGTTGGTGATTGCCCAGCTCTCTAGTCTATCCACATCTCTCTGTAAGGCCTCTCTGCCCTCGAGGGAGTCCACAGCTCCTCCTAGTTTAGTATCGTCAGCAAACTTACTTAGTGTACATTTCATTCCTGCATCCAGCTAATTTAAAAAACATTAAAGAGCACTGGCCCTAAAACTGAGCCCTGGAGAACCCCACTGGTGAGTGGCCGCCAGCCTGACGTAACCCTGTTTACCATAACTCTTTGAGCCTGACCTGTCAGCCAATTGCTCACCCAATGTATTAGGGACTTGTCTAGATTTGTGCTGGACATTTTATCCAGAAGGATACTGTGAAAGACAGCATCAAAAGCTTTGCTGAAATCCCAAACCAACACATCTACTGCCTTCCCTTGGTCACCTAGGTGGGTGACCTTGTCATAAAAAGAAATTAAGTTGGTTAAGTAGGACTTTCCTCTCATGAACCCACACTGGCAATAACCAATGACTGCATTGTCTCTCAAGTGTTTTTCAGAAGCTCCCAGAATAACCTTCTCCATAATTTTACCAGGCACTGAAGTAAGACTGACAGGCCTGTAATTACTAGGGTCTTCCTTAGAATCATAGAATCATTTAGGTTGGAAAAGACCTTTAAGATTGTCAAGTCCAACCGTTAACCTGACCCTGCCATCCCACCACTAAACCATGTCCCTTATTGCCCTTCTTGAAAATTGGAGCAACGTTTGCCAGCTTTCAGTTGACTGGGACCTCTCCAGATTCCCAAGACCATTGAAAAATAGTGGAGAGAGGTCACGCAATAACATCGGCCAGCTCTTTCAGTACCCTGGGATGAATCCTATCGGGGATTTGTGTGTGTCTAGCTGGAGCAGCAAGTCTCGAGTAAGTTCAGAGTCGGCTGGGACTTTACCATCCCCCAGTCATGGTCTTGCAACACAGGGCTCTGGGGGTCCCAGGGCCTATCATCAGTGTTAAAGACAGAGGCAAAGAAGGTAGTAAATGTCTCTGCTTTGTCTACATCACTATTTGTGAGGTGACCAACTTCATCAAGTAATGGACCAATGTTATCTCTGATCCTCTACTAAGAGATCTCACCCATAGAAGATGACCAGCTGCCTTACTGCTTACATGTAGAAGATAACAATCATAAAATATTGCTGATGTTCCCCATTTTCTAAAAGCCACCAATATGCTGGACAGACAGCTTGTCACTGGGAGTCTTGAGTATACAGCACAGTGCTAAATATCCCTGATGAGAAACTTTTGGATGTGGAAATGGAGGCAGGTAGCAGCCAGAATGGGGAACAGTGCCCCAATGCTCTGCTAACATTGTTCTTCCTCTGATGTGGCCCAGTGGTGCACAGGCTGATGGGAAAAATGTACTTGAAGAGGACTGCTAAATTAGCACCCTAACAGTTGATTAATTCACTATAACTTGCCTCAACTGAGGCATTTTGATGAAAACAGGCTATTTCTTTGACTCTTGAAAAATGCATCTCTGTCAATAGAACGTCAGGGTGCCAAAAGGAACATCTTTGGAGACTTGCTGTCCTCTTGGCTAGCCTTGTCTCCTACCTCATGCTGCAAGAGGAACAGAAGTGAACCTAAAACCACACAAAACGTCCCACTGGGGAAGAGAGCATAGTCCAGACACTGTAACTAGCAATGGCAGGAGGAGATGCTTTTTAGGAAGAGCAGACAAGCCTGGCCACTATCTGTGGTTCATTATGACCCAGTCACACATACGTCAATACTCACAATGGCTGTGGTTGGGAACGCTGTATCTTCCCTTTAGTGTCTGTTACGGACTTGTTACCATGAATTTCTCAGATCTCTTTTGACACTGTCCTGCCAGCTGTGTCCACAGTTTACTGGGGCAGCAGATTCCAGAAGTTCACAGCTTGCCACGTAAATAAGTACTTGCTTCTGTTTTAAACTGATCAACTAATCACAATAAGTGCCAGTTCTTGCTATACTAACATGTCATTGTGATGTGACTGTGGAATGATAATTATGGTACCCATGGTCATTGCATTTCAGCAGCTCCACTCAGGTGGCTAAATGAAGAAAGTATTTTTATCTGCAAACTCATCCTGGAACTGGACCACTAGATGTATCCACTGGAAACTCCTCGAAAAGCAAGGCACATTAGGATGCACAAAGAACTGTAGGAATGCAGCTGTATCCCTTGCAGTAGACAAGCTGGGTTGTTTGTTCCTCTGTCCAGTTGTTTGCTCCTCTGTACTGTGCAGAGGTACAAGCCCTGCTGCCAGTACTGAGTGCTTGCTTAGGAATAGAACCTCTCTTCATTCCCTGTTCCTGATGCTAGCTTATTTTTGCAAGACTAGGATAAATATTCATTGACTTATACACATTTTAGTCATTAAACTCTAAAGCTATGATTTGGTCTGATTCTTCTCTCATTTGTATTGCTAATCTTTTAACATATTCAGCAGAATTACTCAGAGCTTTGGACCAGTCTAGCCTAAAGGGCTTATGGAAACTAAGAGATGACAACCTATAACTCACAAAAAAGCAACACTCCTCAATTAAGTAATGTCCACTTTGGTAGATGCGTCTTCTTGTTTAGATATGGGTCTTTACATCTTACAAGTTCAGGAGCTAATGCTTTCAAGCTGGTCTTAAAGAGGTAGAGAAAATTGATGACACAAGTTGTTATGGGGGGAAGAGAAACACAGACAATGGGAAACCACTAAGTTCAGTTTATGAAGTGGACCAAGTGTGTCCCCTCAATCTCTACTGTTGAAGGTCTTTGTAGCTAGTTGTTGGCACAGGCTTCCAATCAAATGATATCACAGTATAGCTTCCCAGCAGCTTTGGGGGACGGTTCTCTTGCTTCTTGATCCATCATCCATGCCAAGGGTCATTATGCTTAGTTCTTGTTTACATTGTCCTGTTGGCCTTGGCTTACCACACTCGGCCCATTTGCATTGTAACCAGCTCTTGGCCAAAGCAAGGCTGTGACATTCCTACATCACAACAAGGAAGAACCCCAAATTTTTTTCACAATAAGAACTGAAGGCAATTATTATGATCTGTGTCTCTCAGGGCCCTGAGAGTATTAAAAAAAACTGCCTTAGTTGCTTCCACTGACACACTGCCCATAGATGGCCCAGGAGCTCCATTTAAGCTCAGTCTGTGCTATTAGTCCCTGCCTGAGCTATGGCATAGGTGTGCTTGTCTCCATCTCTCACACCCATGCCTATGCCCATGCCCACAGCCTGCCATGGAGCCTGTTGATCTGTTTCCTGACTTGTGAACTGATTTTATGGGTTGACCTCAGACCTGTCTCATCTCTGTGGACTTGACCAGTGATCTCTGTGTCTGTATGTGACCTTGGTTGCCATCACAGGACCTGATCCTGACCTGAGGATTGACTTCCCAGCTTGACCTGGTCAACCTGAGCCTGCCTGAAAATCTGGACTCCTGGTTGATTCGGGCTGCTAGCCCTGGGCCTACCCTGCTCTCCTTTTCTAGATACACTGGAATGAGTCCTGGCTAGCAAGGCTCCTTCCTTGCTGTCTGCTTTATCTTGCTTGACTCGTCATCCCTTAGGAAGTAATTGTTCCTGGATGCACCCTGGCAGTGTCTGGCAAGAGCTGCTGTAACTTGGTCACAGAAAACAGTGGCTCTGGACACCTGGTCAATTGTCTAGATTCTGCTTATCTATAATACTATGATGAAATTTTTATTTCAAGCCATTCTTTTTGAGTCACATTTGCCTAGCAAATGAGTCCGTGGCCAAACAGTAAGCAAGGAGAGACCTCACATTCAGCTCAGTTCTTTCTGGGGTGTGTATGTGAGAACAACGAAATGAAATACAGAATGCTGTATCAGATGTAATAGTAAAAAATAAACCTACCAAATGAGACCTGATAGACCAAATATCAATGATGCAGCCGAGCAATATTTCTCAAAAGTAACCTAGAAATCATCAAGCAATCTCTTTTGAGCTGGCAGACAAAAGCCAAGTCATGAAACAGGAGAATAGAATCATAGAATAGAATAGAATCATAGAATCACTTTGGTTGGAAAAGACCTTTAAGATCATAGAGTCCAACACTGCCATCCCACCACTAAACCATGTCCCTAAGCACCTCATCTATCCTCCTTTTAAATACTTCCAGGGATGAGGACTCGACCACCTCCCTAGGCAGCCCATTCCAGAGCCTGACAACCCTTTCGGTGAAGAATTTTTTCCTAATGTCTAGCCTAAACCTGCCCTGGCACAACTTCAAACCATTCCCCCTTGTCCTATCGTCCATTACCAGGGAGAAGAGGCTGACACCCATCTCGCTACGACCTCCTTTCAGGTCCTTGTAGAGGGCGATAAGGTCTCCCCTCAGCCTCCTCTTCTCCAGACTAAACAACCCCAGTTCCCTCAGCCACTCCTCATAAGACTGGTTCTCCAGACCCCTCACTAGCTTTGTGGCTCTCCCCTGGACATGTTCCAGCAATGCAACATCTTTCTTGTAGTGAGGGGCCCAAAACTGAACATGAGGGAAACTCTTGTTGCTGCCATAGCTGGCTGGAGCACTGCCATTTAAGCATGTGGCACATGCATATGAGGCTGGGAAAAAGATCTGGGGGTTGATGGTCTGTACTTGGGTGTCTTGTAGTTGTCATGTGCAGAGAAACAGAGGTCCTGTATCCAG